CTTCGTCCTAATCAAAAATACACGACTTCCTTAACTCTTGGAAATGTGTATTCAGAATTTGGGGTAGGGGTGGAGAGGAGACAAAAAAAAATAAAAAATAAAAGCATGCATGACTGTTTTCTGTCAAGGACAAAAACATCAGGACTTCTAATAAGGACTGAGATGACTCTGAACATTTTAGAGGAGGATGTTCCAAGGCTATTCAGCAAAAATCCACAAAGAACTCACAAGTCCATGGGAGCTTCCACAACAGTGATAAATGCTCCATTTAAAAATAAAAATAAAATCAAATCAGGGCAACTGTAGAGGAAAAAGTGCATACACATAAGGAAATGGGATGGGACAGACAAAAAATAGATGGCAGAATATCAAGATCTTTTGATTTAAACTGTGAAATAGATTTCCTTCATTTTCCTCATTTCTCTTGAGCTATTAATAACCAGTAATGTATTTTGAAACTCTGTAGTACTGCTCTTTCAGAACCAATGTTTAAATTAACTAGGATTTACCAAATGCTTTAAGTACATAATCTAATATTAGATACTTACTGCAAAATTGAGTTAGTGTTTCGTGGGTAGGTAACATTAGTGGGTAGTCTTACTAGCCTCATAATTCAGATCTGAAGAGAAAGAAACAAGACTTTTTTGTAACTATAACAATAGTGAGGTTTTGCCTACATACTTCTTTGAAGGTCATCATAATGGGTCATAACAAGAGAATTTTTCTCACCTAGGTTAAAATCTGATGAATTTTAAATAAATATCACAACTGCTTATATTTGAGCTGAAGTACTTGCGCTTGAAAAAGGTATACACCATCTGGTGCACAGTAATTACAGAAATTAAAAGTGCATTTCTGTGGCTTGCCTTGAACAAGTTTTACTGATACAGTAATACTTGATCTTCTTAGGGAACATAATCTAAACTCATGCTGTTAAATGATCATGGGACCATCCAGTGTATGGCGTAAGCAGTTCATTACGCTGGAATCTTTAAAAATGCTTGCTCCCTACTAATAACAGAAACAGTTTCCGCAGTTTTACGTCACGCTGTTAAATTTAATCCACAGTCAAGGCAAGTTAATTTCACACCTGCTGAGCGATATCCTGATGGATGGCACCACAGCAGGTCATTAATTTTCCTTCCTTTTGATTAATTTCACACCATACACTGGACACAGTCTTTTGAGTTATGATGTCTGAGGGCAATGCTTAATACCTGTAAAGGGCTAAACCTGTTTTTGACTGCTTGCCAAAATGCAAGGAACTCAGATGTGATACAAGTGAGGAAGCTTCACTAGGCTTGGCAGTGAACTCTGACACTTCTATAGGTGTGGTAGGACACTCTCATTCTGCAGTATATTTCAAGTGCGTTCTTGAACATAGCCTTAAAGCAAAAATTCTGGGTACTCCCTACTTCTGAGGAATTGTTTATAAAAAATATGTAATTTGTGGTATTAGCAGTGCAGATAGCAGTGACCACTGAAACAACTGAGAAGTTAGACTTGGCCTTCCATCATTTAGTTACTGACTTTAGACTCAATAAGGTACAAAGATTTACTAAGACTACATCTCCTGTTTTCAAACAACAAAACAAACAAACAAAAACAAAAACCCCAACAAAACAAACAAAACAAAAAGCCCCCCCAAACCCCGAAGATGACATGGGAGTGAAAGAAGGGAAAGAGAAAGGTAATGCTCCAATATGACAACAGCAGTCACTGTTGTCACCACAGCTCAAGGGGAAGTTGCAGGTCAGTATGTCCCTCTGTAGGCAGTGAAGGCAGCTGGGGCCCTTGGAGGCCTTGAGACCCATATGCAAGGGTCCAGCTGGAAACCGGGCTAATCCCACTCCACACTTTACATCCTACTGCTTTAAACCACTCAGTCTCACACCCTCCTTTGCACTACATGTACCAAATCAACAGATCTCTCTATGAGCTGATTCAGATCATGAAAACAAAAGAAGCCTTTTTCTTACATTACCTTTCTTCTAGTTTTGCAAACCAAGCTGTCTAACAGACGGGTCAGGTGTGTATCGGAAACTGAGAAGGAGAAATTGTACGTTTTGGCAGCAGGACCCATATAGCTTAGCTCTTCTTCCCCTTTTGTGGAGTGATTCAAAGCAGCAATTCCAAGAGCTTCATCCTCTGTATTGACTATGGAAAGACCTGACTTTCCTAAGCTCAAATAAGTATGTGCTTTTATCGCTACTTTTCCCTTTCTCCACACTCTACAGTATTCTACAGCAAAGTTCAAAGCTACATCTTTTTCAACACAGCAGTGCTTCCTAATATAGTATGAGCAAATTTTCAGTCCCTTCCTGATCATGAAGAATAATAATTTAGAAAATAAAACAAGTGCTTATGCTTACCAGCAGCCATTTTTGGTAAGAGAAGCCACTGCAGTAGAGTCAAAATAGCGGAGAGTGTGAAGGGGGAAATGGTTTTGTGATGTGATAAATGTAAATCATGCAGAACATATGATTCAGTATGCATGGCTTAAATATCTGAGTGTGACAGGCTGAGGCCAGGAAGACATGAGCTATTCTGGATCCACCTGTACCAGCAGACTTCTCCAACCAGAGAGCACTGCCTCCTCTCATCTGCCCATGGAAATAATCTGAGTGTTCCATAGACACTTCACCCAAAATAAGTTGGGCAAGAAGTAATTCTCTATTTCAACTACACAGCTGATCTGGCTGTTTTGATTAACCAGGTTCAGACAGTATGAATTAGCCCTTCCATCAAGATTGCAGGAATATTTTCCACCAATGTTCTGTTGTCCTTTTCTGGTTCAGCATACTGACATCATGACTTATGATCAAGTACTTGATCAAAGGCTCCTCATAAAGCTTGAATAGATGCTCATTTGATGTGTATTAAGATGGTTACCTGCTTATTTGCCAATATGCAGTTTTCAACATGAACTGAAAAATTTTGCTGTCAACTCCTATAAAGAATTTAAACACAGGATGAACTAGAAGCTGGCTTAATAGGATTTAGATGCTGAATAAAAGTCAAAATAAATTATCTCAATCATCCGAAGTTGCAAACTGGATTTTTTGGACACAACTCACATTGCTGGCAACCAATTATGCCAATTCCAACAGTCAAGAATATCAAAGGAAGAGCTACAGTTTGAACATTATTTACAGCAGTATGTACTTTTTACTCATTATTGTGTGGTTCCATTATGAATGGGCAAGTAAATATTTCAGTCCTTTCCCCAGTCATCTAAAACACAGCATAAGAAAAGTTTGTGAGTTTTTTATGTTGACATTTTCAGATGCCTAGAGGACACCTATGTGCACTTCCCTTTGTATCTCAGTTCTAAAGGGCTGCTAAAGAAGCCATTCCCTTCCTACTTAAAATCCCTCTGTAGCTGTTCTCTCTCAGGCCTCCTTCTCCTACAGAAGTGTTCAATTGTTCTTCTCTTTCCTCTGATTCTTCTGGCTAGTGCTTCAGAAAAAACTCAAATGAACATCAACCAAAAATCCGTAACTAAGCCACACAGGTCATGGCTCTTAAACTCTAGCAAACTTCACCTCCTTCCCTGAAAAGGGTGGTACATTCAAAGAAGAGAAACTTAACTTTCCTATGTATCATCTGAAACTAGAAAACAAAACAACCCCAACTCTCAAGCAGGATCTTAAGCTGCTGCTTCCCCATCTCACACACATAATAAAGAATTAAGGCAAAATTTTCCCTAAGTATGTAGATTAATGCTTACAAAATCTCTTCCATTGTTACTAGTAATTTGTAAACTAAAACCAAAGTGTTGTAAAGAATGAATTTTGAATTACTATATGTTTGCATACACTTGTTATGCATGTCACCATATGTCAGGCAGAATCTCTGAAGGTAAATCTCAAACAAGTGATTACCACTGAAGGAACATAATGGAGAATAAAGACAAGTGATATATTTAGCTTCATCTTATCTTTATCCCTAGAGGAAAGTGTTCCTTCTAGTGTGGGAAGGGGAGGAGAGAAAAAACCTTATTTGGTATGTTAAAAACAAAAAGAAAAAAAAAAAAAGGCCTGGAAATGAAGGCATGTTTTTCCCCAACACTGATGACCCACTTTAAACAGTCTTACATAACTATAAAACTAGATTATATTTGCCTTGCCATGGATTTAATCTTACTTTTTTTTCAATTTGAACCACATCAGAGGGTTATTTACCCTCAGCTGCCCATCATAGTTTTCTGAACTTTCTCACTTGAAGTAATTCTGTCCATCTTCTCAAACAATCTCAAAATTAAAAAAAAAAAAAAAGGGGGGGTGTGGGGGGAGACAGGATTTACCTGGTGGGGTAAATTTGCACTTGGCTGAACTGTACAAGATTATATGACCTGAAGCTGAATAGCTATGTAATGCCCGTCACCCTCTTAAATTTTCACCTCTCCCAGAATTCCACCATGCATGCTCTTCAGCATGTTCTCAAGCATGCATATTGAGCTTTCCTCCCTCCAGTGCTGGAAACACAACTCAATTCTTAGAAAACATGTATAAACTAAAGCAGTGTCATTAAGTGAAATGGTTTCCAAACCAAGCAGAAGCTAATCCACTTCAGTAAGTATTCTCTAAAAGAGCACAGTTATTAGGCTATTTCTCTAGTGTTTCAATAACAAAAATGCTTTATAAGCAATACAAATGTAGGCATACCCTAAACTACAACCAACACCTACAAAAGGGCACATCCTACTCCAAACCTCTTTAGCATCCTAAATCCAAATGGTTTCCAGTAACAGAAAGAAAATTAAATAGGCAATATTGCCCATCCCTAAAATGGTCACAGTGAAAAATGTATTTTGACCTAACAGAGAAAGTTAGGAGACTTTTCAGGTCAAATACAGCAGTCTTCCATCAAAAGGAACTTCCATTAGCAGCAAGGCTGACATTCAGTTGCAGTATACTGCATGCTCTAGGTAGATGTTTATGTTTAATCAGATGAAACACTTTGCATCAAAGATGCAAGCCCAGTGTCATTATTTCTACCTGCTGATTTTCTTCTGAACCTCCAGGCCAGGTTCAGCATCCATTCTCCGAGCTCGCACCAGGAAATATCTTCCTAGAGCCAACTTAATGTTAGCTAGGTAAAAGCACAAGAATTGAAATAAAGCCACAACTCTAAAACACAAATAGTGATCTAAAATATGTACCAAAGAAAGAAATTCTCTTCAAGATAATCCATTTGAAAATCATTACAACCCAGCAGTTAATGTAAATGCACATAAGGCTGCCAAAAAGATCACTTAGAGCTTTGAGCAGAATTTAAATGTTCTTGAAACACTACTGTAATACTAGCAGAAAGAAAAAGAAAGACCACTATATTGATACTACCACAGCTGAATGGATTTCTTTACTGTTTAGTCATAGCTAATGAAGAGAAAAAGACAGTCAAAGAGACAGAGGAACAGATTTTCTAATATTATGAAAATATTCATTCCTTTCTACTCAATGGGTAAGTTTTCTGGCAAACGCATCTTTGAAAGATAAGTTGGTATAAAAAGCCTGTCTCTTTTAAACTCAAAATCACTGGTCTTTGCTTATTTATCTTTATAACAGCCAGGATTTGAGAGATAACCTGCATATAACTATGTAAGGCATTAACTTAGAATATTTCAACACCCAGAGCAGTCCATTTGCTTTGTAAGCTACGACAATGAAGATCCAACATCTACCACTGTATCATATTTTAGCCTACTGGCTTACACCTGTGTTCCACTGCAAAAAGTAGGTAAATCTGTACTGGAGCCATGTGCATGCAGAGTATAACAGTACCTCTAAATAGAAGGGGGGAGGAGATAAAACTCAACCATAGTCAGTCACTCAAGTTCATTAGATCTGGTCTTAAAGAGGAGAACTGTTTATGCTAATAACCTGACAAAAGAAAGAATATATTTTTTTCAGCAGTTGATATGACATTTCTGTCTAAAGCTTCATACCACTCAATATTTTCCAGGCTTTATTTCAACTTAGGCTGCTGTTTTAATACTGAGAAAAGATGCATCTTACAGTTATGACCCTACAGTCAGGACTCAACCCATGACTTGAGGTTTAAACCTTAAGACTGCTTTGAAAATCACATCTATGCTTTTATATTTTCCCACATGACATCTATGTCTCTAAATTGGAGAGACATCAATTTGACAGGTGGACCACTCGGTGGATAAAGAACTGGCTGGATGGCCGCATGCAAAGAGTTGTGGTCAATGGCTCAATGTCCAGCTGGAGAACAGTACTGAGTGGTGTCCCTCAGGGATCGGTGTTGGGACTGGTCTTGTTCAACATCTTTGCTGCTGACATGGACAGTGGGATTGAGTGCGCCCTCCCTAAGTTTTCCAATGACACCAAGCTGTGTGGTTCAGCTGATATGCTGGAGGGAAGGAATGACATCCAGAGGGACCCTGACACGCTTGTGAGGTGGGCTGATGCCAACCTCATGAAGTTTAACCGTGACAAGTGCAAGGTCCTACACCTGGGTCAGAGCAATCCCAGGCACAGCTACAGTGTGCTCTGAAAAGTGATTCAGAGCAGCCCTGTGGAGAAGGACTTGGGGGTGCTGGTCGATGAGGAACTTAACATGAGCCGGCTTCAGTGTGCACTCGCAGCCCAGAAAGCCAACCGTATCCTGGGCTACATCAAAAGGAGCGTGACCAGCAGGTTGAAGGAGGTAATCCTGCCCGTCTACTCTGCTTTCGTGAGACCTCACTTGGAGTACTGTGTGCAGTTCTGGTGTCCTCAACATAAAAAGGACATGAAACTGTTGGAAGAAGTCCAGAGGAGGGCCACGAGGATGATCAGGGGACTGGAGCACCTCCTGTATGAAGACAGGCTGAGAAAGTTGGGGGTGTTCAGCCCAGAGAAGAGAAGGCTGCATGGAGACCTCATAGCAGCCTTCCAGTATCTGAAGGGGGCCTATAGGGATGCTGGGGAGGGACTTTCCATTATGGACTGCAGTGATAAGACAAGGGGTAATAGGTTAAAACTTAGGGGAAGTTAAGATTGGATACAAGGAGAAAGTTCCTTACTGTAAGGGTGGGTTGCCCAAGGAAGTTGTGAATGTTCCATCCCTGGCTGTATTCAAGGCCAGGCTGGACAGGGCCTTGAGTGACATGGTTTAGTGTAAGATGTCCCTGCCCATGGCAGAGGGTTTGGAACTAGATGATCTTAAGATCCTTTCCAACCCTACCTAATCTGTAATTCCATAATATATGTTTAAATTCAAAATTATTATTGCATACAGTTATTTCGGCATATGACTCTTGAGTGACTCTCACGTATTTTTTCAAACCTGAGAAAATACGTGATCTTCAAGACAGTTGAGCTACTAAGTTGTTTTTTATAAAGGTACGGTTTCATTTAACTTCTAACCTCCCTCCCATTAACTGCATTGCTCTGGCTCTTCATACTCAAGTCTGCTTTACCTTGAAGAAAGCATTACCCGACCAGTTAATTTAATGACTCCTTAAGAACTTCACCACCACTACCACCAGATCTTCTTTCACCTATCATTCTGTATGATTCTTTAGGATTGGAAGGATTTCTCTTCAATTTACTTAAAAAAAAAATAAAAAACCAAACCAAACCCCAGAACAAATCAACAAAGCCAACTACTGCTTCATGACTGTAAGGATCTAGGTTCTATTACATTCACAGTTTCATGTTAGACACTTAAAATCAGTATACAATGAAAATTCAAAGAGGGACTCAAAAAAGCCAGCTCACAGAAGCAGCAGCTTAATTACAGAAAGACAATAGCTAGCATGGATTTACCAGAAGTTAGGAAGATAGCATTTAAAAAGTTGGGTAAATTCAGATTTATTTGATGCCCTGTTATGCTCAGCTTTCCTACATTCTAACAGACCACTGAGATAATTTAAAGTAGCAAACTTACATTTTCTCCATAATATTTTCATTTGTTCATCCTGACTGGCTTTTTTTTTTGGTGGGGGGGGGTGGGGTGTATAATGACAGCACTTGGAGAGATTCCTATACAAAAATTGAGAATACCCAAGCCATATCTGTTACTGCAATAATGTATTGAATATATTAGCAAAAATATACAAGTCAATTCTGATGCAAATAACCCTTAGGGGAAAAAATCTGCAGTTCCAGACAAACTATAGAACACTCAGCAATTACTCACCTCTTCAACATACTACTTTCATTTTCTGTAGATTCAAAGCTTTGGCAACATGGGCAAAGAGTCAGACCTTCGGTAAGAATGGCCTCAATCATAACAGTTGTTTGAGATCAGTTGAAAAAGCCAAATAAAAGACGAAAAGAAGGATCTGTGTGAAAGAGTTACTGATGTGAAAAAGATGCAAGATTAACTGAAGGCATGCAATCTTTGCCTGAAATCATCTGTTTTGATAATTAGGTGGTGAGCAATCCAAGAGTAAGGTTCTAGTTCATCTTGAGTCTATTACTAGCCGATTACAACAAAGATTTTGCACAACTGCACATATGCCATTAAGAATCTTCATCCACTTCATCTTAATTGTACAGAAAAGTCCATCCAGGTTTGCTGGGCTGGGCACGATGAAGTGTTCTGGTTTAGTCCAGTTCTAGAAGTCAATGAGTTCTGTAAATAAGGATATTTCCTAAATTATTTAATAAAGAAATAGGTTACACAAATATGGGAGAACTTCAGAAGTACACTATCAGGGATGGAAAAGAATATACGAGGTAAAGCTTCAGTGTAACGTGTGAAAAAATTTCAAGCCATGTGGCAAAATCTCATAATTGAAGATGAGATGTTTGGAGGAAAAAAGGCAGAAGCCATTCAGAAGACTGGACTAAAAAGGAGATTTTGATTTTTTTCAAGCACAGCAGAGAACACCCAGAACACTTCCCACAAATAACCGAAATTCAGCTTGACCAACAAAAAACAAAAAGAAAAAAAAAATTGCCCAAAATAAGCCTACTTAGAATTGAGACATAGCTGAATTTTAATACATCTGCTGAATAAGATATTATATTCACTGAAATCTGCAGTCTAGTGGAATGCTGTTTCCAGTGCTGAGCAAAACAGAAAACGCATATGCTGCCTGCATAGCTCTTGAAGGCCAAATGAAAAGAGAGCACATGATTAGTCCTTCAGTCTTTTAGGATGTGGAACCACAGAAGCAGTGGTAATAGAAATAATTAAGTAGCTGTAACAAAGAAAACGTGCTTCAAATTACACAGAATAGGGAAGGAAGGAGACAGGCACAAGCCAAGACAGAAAGAAAAGTATGACCAAGCCCCTGAAACCTGTGACACAGTATTCTGGAGAATTTTAAACACTTCTTTTTTTTTTTTCTTTTTATATATACATTTTTTTAATCAATTTTACAACTCAAACACTGGTTTACTTTATGTGATAACACAAATAATTTTTATATGGAAATAAAGACCTTAACACTAATGAAATGGACAACAGTCAGCAGTGCACTTGGCACATAAGCCAAGAGACGATAAATAGCAAAAAAAAAGAAAAAAAAATGTTAATAACATTTGACAGATTTCTTCCTCCATTTGTCAAACACAAGGATGACAGAGCTGGTCAGTACAAAATAAGCAACAAGAATGTTTTAATCCTGAGTTTCTGTGGCCTGAACAAACATTTTTATCCTGAGCAATAGGCTTGATGCCCATAGTACAGAGGTGGACATATTGAGCACTGTAAGGTTCCTAGAGTAATTTCTGCCAAACTACAATGCTGCAACAGCAACCTTTTTAATGGAATGTCAAATTTTAGTTATTTAAAGAATAAGGTGGCTGACATATTCAAAAATACTCTGTAGCTTGTGAAAGGGCAAGAAAAAAACCTTCATCAAAAAACTTCGTAATACAAAGCAAAAAATCAATAGTGTGAATTCAGAGTTGTAGATCAGAAAATTACACAGTGAGAAAGACATTTCCCCCCCCAATTTGGATAAACAAACAAAAATATATAATGATAGTACTTACATAGTCTTTTCGGAAATAAACCAAACCACACATTAATTTGCTAGATAAAAGTGAGGCCATTTGGCCTACTGGATAGAGTATTAGAGTATTAACCCTCTGTTAACCTAACATTCTAAGAAGTAATAAGAACACAATCGTCTAGATTAGGCTGATGTTCAAACACCCCAAGCCAGTACTGTCTGGGTGTACAGTACTGAAAGCAGCATCTTTATCCCTCTCCAACCTCCCTGTCTAGCCTATATGGCTAAAAGTTGGAAGACATGTAGGAAGCGTTGTCATGCTGAAACATGAACAGCCAAATACCATAAAGCCATTTACAGCCACACCACTACCAGAAAGCCAACCATATCCTGGGCTGCATCAAAAGGAGCGTGACCAGCAGGTCGAACAAGGTGATCCTGCCCCTCTACTAAGCTCTCGTGAGACCTCACCTGGAGTATTGTGTGCAGTTCTGGTGTCCTCAACATAAAAAGGACATGGAACTTTTGGAACAAATCCAGAGGAGGGCCACAAGGATGATCAGGGGGCTTGAGCACCTTCCGTATGAAGACAGGCTGAGAAAAATGGGGCTGCTCAGCCTGGAGAAGGCTGCGTGGACACCTCATAGCAGCCTTCCAGTATCTGAAGGGGGCCTACAGGGATGCTGGGGATGGACACTTCATTAAGGACTGTAGTGGTAGGACAAGGGGTAATGGGTTAAAACTTAAACAGGGGAAGTTTAGATTGGATATAAGGAGGAAATTCTTTCCTGTTAGGGTAGTGAGGCACTGGAATAGGTTGTCCAGGGAGGTTGTGACTGATTCATCCCTGGCAGTGTTCAAGGCTAGGTTGGAAGAGGCCTTGGGTAATATGGTTTAGAGCGAGGTGTCGCTGCCCATGGCAGGGGGGTTGGAACTTGATGATCTTAAGGTCCTTTCCAACCCGATTCTATGATTCTATGACAAGGGGTAATAGGTTAAAACTGAAATAGGAGAAAGAGCAAGTTCTTTACTGTAAGAGTGATGAGGCACTGGAATGGTTTGCCCAAGGAAGTTGTGAATGCTTCATCCCTGGCAGTGTTCAAGGTTGGACAGAGTCTTCAGTGATATTCTTTAGCATGAGATGCCCCTGCCTATGGCAGTGGTGTTGGAACTTGATGATCTTAAGGTCCTTTCCAACCCTATCTATTCTATGATTCTACTACACATCATAAAACCACGTTAGAAGACCACTTAGTTACACAGAGTATTCTGAACACCATATCCTGAAGTACCAGATTATGAGTTGAGTGACAGAATTCAAGATTGCTATACCCAATGGGAACAACACTCAAGGGTATAGAACAAGACTTGAGGCAAAAACAACACTCAAAACAGAGACTAAGGCAATTCAAACAGAACAGTACTACTGGTGGATGGGAAAAAAATACTAACTGTTCAAGTACATAGGATGTAGAAAACTTGTGCTTCCAATGCAGGGAAAAAAACCCCTGCTAATTTACTTTTTTTTTAACTCTAAATAATGAGAAGTTGGATTCTTCAGATTTCCATCTAACCCCTCCTTTTTAGGTCTAAGAAATGCAAAATTTATGTAAACCAGTTTTCTCTATGTATTTAAAATATAATACTATTTTTCAAGTACAGCTTTATTAAAAAGAATTATTTTTTTTTAAGACTCACTGTTTTCTTTGCTCTAGATGTGGCCACATGCATTCCAGTATCCCAGTATGTAAGAAACTGTTCTTAAACATGTTTTAAGTAGCTTAATCAATACTGATATTCTTCTGTAACATTAGACAGTGCGCAAGCTACACAACTGGTACATACAGAAACTACACCAGGAAATGAATCAAGGTGCAAGGACTATTAGAAGCTGAACAGAAGCTAAACCTGTTAGAAGCTTTTGCTCTGTATCAGCCAGTACAGCTCTCAAAGGAAAGTTTAACTGCACACTTGGGCCTCATTGGACTAGTTTCAATATGCAGTGCCAGAGACTTGAATAGCATCAACCTAAAAACAGCTTAAGTAAACTCCAATATACCTTTTACACTGGTACAGAGCTTTACCCACTGCAGTTAGACTCTCATTACATGATGACAACAATCCACTCCTTTCAGTACAGGCCTCTGGCACACTGAATGGCTGCTGGTAACATATCAACAGCATTGTGACCACTGCTCACTCCCTAGACATTCAGCAGCTAGCATGAATCAACTAGTGAACTGAAATTCCAAACTTCCAGTGGGCAAGAACAGTTTTCACAGAACTTCCTCTCAGCTGCTAGTAAGCAGCAATTTGCAATGGCCAGCAAAGAGGCCAAATCCCTAATCATCTTCTAGCCTGAAGTTCTTCCTTGCTCAAAATATTCTTTAACCTACCTTGGTGAAAATTCTGGTAACACAGGTTAGCTGAAAGTTACTGTAGCCTTTTCTTCAAAGGAATTATGTGTAGTCCTATAAGGTTATCAGTCCAAAACCCACGGAGAGTAAATAGAGACATCACAAAGATTGACAACTGGGGCCATAAAGTGAAACTGATAAGCTTCCCCAGAAGCCTCAAACCACTGAGATCCAGATTCAGACATATGTGAAATTGCTTTGTCAAATCGCCTTGCCAAACGCTCATGCAACTCGGTTTCATTTCTCACATCATTAAAAAAGTCACAAGTTTTGATTTTACTGACTATCCAATTTCTTGAACTTGACTGCCAAGCTACTGAAAAAATCTGGGAGACTATTTCAACGATCTACAGATTATTATCTTCTCTGTAACGTGTATAGTTTATATTTCTCTTTCAAGAGAAGATAAGATATCAAAACAAAGAAAAATGCTGTTTTCTAGAACTGATTTATAAACAAACTCAACTGGTATCTAAGAAAATATCTATTAGGAATAACAATCTACTATTTCATTTTAAGATATAACCATAACATATTTAACTTGACTACAGGCTCTTAAAATCAGACTAAATATTCAGAATTGGTTGACATTATCAATAGTAAAATAGCTGTAAGCTTGAGTAGAAAAACCACTGGAAGCATTTGCAACATTCTCATCCTGCATGTTTTATCCTAATCTAGTAAAAGAAAAGTAGCTGCATAACATGAAAGGATGTTAAGTGTAAACAGAATTATACTGCATTTCACCATATTCTTGGAGGATCAATAACACTGACTGACAAACTGTATTTCATGGAGAGAAATACAGGGAAGAAAACTGTTCAATTTTACAAGAACTTACAAAACCAAATCAATGTGCTAAGGAACTGATTGTAATAATATAGCTTTAATAATCTGGTTACATATCCTGTGCAACCTAGGTTGAAGTCTGAGTGGTAAAGATTGAGAAATATTTGTGTT